TAATTTGAGCACAACACGTTAATTTTTTAGATATCAAAAGAATCTATTAACACAGATTTAAATTCTAAAATTTATACTTCTTATTGTAACATAACAAACATCCAAACAGCACATTTCTTTAAGCTTTACAGAAACAAAGTTGGCTTAAAACAGTTATGTGAACTTACATACTAAATTACAGAAATAAATTAAATTACTTTACTAACTCAATATAAAAATCCAAGGTACTTACCCGTCTCACCAATATATAGATGTTGATGAATCACGCACTTTACTCCTTCAGCATGATCTGATGATCTTCGGGAAAAGAACACAAGATTTTTATGGATGCTGAAGATCCAAGCACTTATATCACAACCCACTACAACTTTCACAGCACTTCACCGCACTAAATTTTCTCGAGCACAAAGATGATCACACTTGTATCACTTTTTTTTTTTGGCTACTACAGTACACATTCACAATGATCTGATGATCTTCGGACAAGGCTTGTCCGCACACTTCTGCACTAATTTTTCTCGAACACAAGATGATCGCACAATTTATGCTGCTGAAGATGAGCTGTATTCAGCAGACTGTCATTCCTTTTTATCTGGACTGTTGTCCGTAAACTTCGTGGATTCTATCTTGCTGCTTCGAAGAGCTGTAAATCACTTTTCTGAACTGATGCTCATAACTTTTCCTGCTGCACTTCAGAACCTGGTGGTCTGTAATATCTGCAAAACACTTATGATGTTCATACAATGGCTGTCCTACAAACTTGAGATGAATTTCAGAGCCTGGCGGTCTGCAATCTCTGCATGGATTTTCTCATCTGAACCTCTGCTGCCATTTTAATAAAGCTGTAACGTCAGAACACCCGTGTTGGGTGCAAGAAAGACAGGTTGCCTTTTAAAATATTTATTTTAAAATCTTGATTAGAAATTCTTGATTAAATAGTAAAATAAATGAATCATTACAGCCATAAATTAAACAAAAGCCGCTGACACAGTGAGGACGCTAAAATGCGTCCGCTATCTCTCGTTTACAGCATCAAAAGCTTCTTACACGAAATTCTCTCTTCGTTTTGTTAAGAAACCTAGAAAGAGAATAATTGGTCCCTTATTGCCGGAAACCACGCGAGGGGGTTTCCACTGCACATTTCTTCAAAGTTCTGCTGTCCATTTTGTCTCTGATCAAAACAGGAAGTTCTCATTAAGCACCTGGAAGTCTGAGGGGTGCATGTCTCTAATCGCCGCAACACTCTTGAAGCGATATTGCTTAGACCAAACCTAAATAAACATTATTATAGCTCAAATTATAGCGCGAAACCCTGTGGTGATCGAGAGTCACTACATCAAATTAAGTGATGACTGAGAGTCACCTTCGAGCGGAAAGGGTGAATATTTTCAAATCCAAAGCTTATCATGAAACAGAAGATTAGCTGAAATTGTTTAAAAACTGCATGGGATTCTGAATATTCGAAATTTTAGGCAGTAACTGTAAAATAAATATACTTGGAACCTGATGTATAGTGTGATTCTATGATCCATAACGATTTAAAGTGAACTGCTATGAATATTATATCTTGTTACAATAGTTGATATTGTCTTTTGGAATCAGAAAACGAAGCCTGTTGAATGTCCTCCTCCTAGGTTATGAGATATTACATCTGTAGAGATTTTAGAGCCATTTAAAATTTGTTTTGTTTCAAATATGCGCCAGAAATATTGATGAACTTGACATTTTTAAATTTTAATATTATTTTGTAACTTACTGATGTCAACTCTTGGTAACTAATTTTCCCCCAAACTAAGATGCACAAGACAGCCTTTTAAAAAATGGTGGCACAGTAAGAACTGTATGAAACAGGAAACCTATAAACAAAATTAAAAATGCAAAGAACGTCCATGATAAAATACTTACTTGTATCAGTACATTTACTTGTTCTGCTTTTCTCATGTATACAGTGATATGTTTTAACTTCAAAGAAGTCAGAATTGCAGAAACTCCAGAATCGCGTAGAACTTAGCACTGCACATATACCCATGTATACAGCAGTATGTTTTCGCTTAAAAACAGCTAATTGCTCAAATTTGGCATTGCACATACTTTTATTCTTCCCATGTACACAGTGGTCTGTTTTCACTAAAAATAAATTTAGAAAATTGCAAAAATTTTTATCTATAAAATTCAATTGTATATGAAGAATACGACTTCACGAAATGCGATTTCTTACTTTCTGTAACAGTTTGGCAAAATACCATATTTCTGAAGAAATGTAATGCTTTTTTATTCATCAGCTGGCAGATTCCACTGTCCCATTGCGATTCTTTACAAGAAAGATATGCGTTCAATGCAACAAAAACAGTAATTGCTGTTGTATTTGAAGGTTGAAAATGTCACCCATTTGCTGTTTCTGCATGCATACCTAGGTTTTCATGTAAATACCTTTTAGTGACATTATGGGTTACCCATTTTGGCAACAAAGCATGCGATTGCTGCTTGTCAACAGATCTAAGGTGATTGTTTTAGCTTTGTCTGAATTTGTGCAATTCTCTGATATTTTTTTTTTTTAGTTAAAATAGGTTGATGTGTACATGGGAGAAGAGCAGAAAGGTAGTTTAACAACTATTCTTAAGCGATTGTGATAAGCTTTTTACGAATTTCTGCAATTTTGTTTTTTTTTTTTTTTAGTGGTAAAAGCTTTTTCTGAACTTGCAATTCTTTGACCTTTTTTGAATTAAAAAGGTTGATGTGTATATGGGAGAAGGAATAGAATGGTTTATCAGCTACTGGTTAGGTGATTATGGTAATAATTTCTGTAAAATTTGTACAATTCTGATGCTTAAGTTAAAATGTGTCGGTATGTAGGTGGTAGAAGAGAGTGAAAGTAGTTTATTAACTATTCTTAATTGATTGTGATAAGTTTTCATTTTTTCCAACAAATTTGTCCAATTCTTATGAATATTATATCTTGTTGAAAGTTGTTGTTGAAAGATTAGCGGCAAAAAGCTAAATGTTTTATTATAGATGTTTCGTGCATTTTTAGTTTAGCTAATTTGTTGCTGTTATACACTTTAATGGGGGGGGGGAACTTGGGAAGAATTTAACCATAACTATGAAACTCAGTAGTATAATGTTTGAATAGGTAAACAACTGTTTAAAACCTAGGGAAAAAAAGCGTTTTATTTATGGGTAGCAATCCAAAGAATGTGAAAATCAGTAGGTGATATTGCCATCCCTGGGAGCTATATGAGCCAATACTCAGTTGGGCATGAAGTCTATTAGGTTGTCACTGTTCCTCAGCAGTAGATAGGGCCACAAATTGAGCAACTGGTCAGTAAGTTGGGGTGTATTTCTACGTGGCTGAATTTGCTTGCCCAACATGTTTTATAGGTGACAGGTCTGGAGACCTGGCAGGCCAGTCAAGAACATTAATATGTCGCAAACTTTGTTGGGAAAGTCTTGCATTATGTGGCCGAGCATTGTGCTGCTATAAAACAGAACTTGGATAACCTGGTAAATAGGCAGTATGATTGGCTGCAAAATGTCATCAACATACCTGCCAGCAGTTGGAGTACCTTGGAGCATGACTAATGGCCTAGCTGATCACTTCTCACACTGTCACGTCCTGTGTTCTGGCTGTGTCTTGCTCGGTAACAAATGGTACATTGGCCCACTCACCTCTCGGTCTCCAGGCATATATGTGGCAGTCATCAGCATTAAGAAAAAAATGTAATTTGTCTTTGAAGATCATATTTCTCCAATTAGACCTGGCCAGCTTGAGCGAGAACAGTACCATATAAGAAGACACTGCTTGTGGTGAAGTTGTCAATGGCAAGCATCTTAATAGACATCAAGATCTGAGCCCAGCATCATCTAGTCTTCTGTGAATCATATCCCGGGATCTCTGTGAGGTGGCAAATGGCATTGAATTGATGATAGCGTAACTGTTGTTGTAGATATGGCAGCTATTTTAATTGTGCGATCATCTCGTGCATTGGTGGCCCAGGGATGTCTTGAGTCATTATGATAATTGACTATGCCTTCGCTGAGCGACTGGTTCCAACAACAGACAATGACAATATCGCTTCAGCTGATACGCTTGTTGGACCAGTTGGCCTCTTTTAGCCCTATGATTCAACCCATCTCAAAGTCTGACAACTGTTTGTAATGCTGTTGAATACCTCTTAAAAGCACATTTCATTACAGTGTCGCATATCGAAGCTATCAGTGTGGTTGTAAATGCTCCTAACTCACTGCATCTGCCCTTTTACATTCTACTAGCTGCGTACTTCAGACGTGTGTTGTATCGTTCCACAATGCTGAGTGGTACTGTAAGTTTAATCATTTACACAGCTTGCAATACATTTGTGTCTCAATTTTGCTTGGGCATGCTTATTTTTTGCAAGAGTGTATGTAATTGTCAATGTTTCTTGCCTTGTAATTTTGTTAATTTATTGCCATTTTGTGTAATTTCAATTTGCTGCCATTTTTTAGAATGGATACCGTTTTTCACGCCTCAAGTTGGGGGGGGGGAAAAGATTATTGCTGACCATAGGCAACTTACAAGAGGGATGGGCAGATAATCTGAGAGCACTGTAAATCTTATAACAAAAGCTGTTTGGTAAGCTCTCTAGCTAAATCATCTAAAATGTATTATGATGTGAAATGTATCATTTTATCATATGCAACTATTGCCCTGTATACCTTTCTGTTGCATCAAATTAGAATAGCAGTAATTACTTATGTTTAAACTTAAAAGAAAAGTATACACAAAATTTAATTAGTCTTTACTCAGTTACTGGTATTTACATTTAAGAGTTATTGTTCAGTAAATTGTATATAATTTACTCAGAGATAACCATTCTTTTTAGACTGCAAATTAAATTTTAAAATGAATTTGAAATGTCTTACTAAATGATTATTATTATTAAATTATTTTAAAAATGTTTATATTGGATACTTAAATATTCCATGTTTCTGCTGGCTATATTTCCAATGCTTTATTTTTAAAGGTGGCAGAAGTTCTTCAAATCAAGATTCTTGAAAAGTCTGGGTGCATATTCAAATTTTTACTTTTCTGCATTTTTTGTGATACTGCTTTTGTTGTTTTTAGGTAAGTATTTTCTTTTGTTTTTTTATATGTAGAATATATGATGTAACAAAAGGTTCATGTTGATAATCATGTGTCATTTGTATTTGTAGTATCTTATACATAGTTAGCTAATTTTTAATGAAAGGTGATAGTTATGCAGTTCTGGATTCAGACATAAGGTTACTTTTTACCAAATTGACAGAACTAACCTGAGTTCCCCTAAAACTGGAGTCAGTGATAATTTCTTGCTTGTTTGCATTAATTTTTACATTGGACTTCTTTGTTTATTATAGTCTGTTTGCCAAGATACTGTATAGAACATGAGATATTGTATACAACATACTGTACATAATGGCAGACTTAATTTTTTTCTTATTATGCATAGAACCTATGATCCTTTGATGGTTTAATTTACTTTAACAGACTTATGTTACTTTATCTGTAAACTGGAAGTGAATGGATTCTTAATTATACTTTTCTCTCTTTCCATAATACTATGATGTGTATTCTTTTAGATAATTTGTTAATTATCTTTATATTGTCAGCTTATAAAGTTTGAATGATTTACATAAATAAAAAAAGAATAGTCTTGAGACAAGTCATAAGTATGGAAATATAATATACAGTCAAAAGTCGTTAATTCGGACACCCATAATCCGGAATGATCTATAATCCGGACCTCAAAGCTAAAAAATTTCTGCCGCATTGACATATGCGCATATGCGTTTATGCATGCGCGTAAGACCGTTACGACTGCGCATATGTGTCTGTGCAAGCGCAGAATACGTTTTCGCGTGCGCGTTTAATGTATAACAGACGGTACAAGCTAAAATTATCCATTTCAGTTAATGTTGATGATTGCGTTGTTCCTTAATCTTCGAATTGGATGCGGCTTATCATTTTTTGCAGACTGTAAGAGCAATGTTATAAAAGTAAACTTGAACTTTCGATTATGTCAAATAGAATTTCCGATGCTGGAGCTCCCAAAGGATCTACAAAATGAAAGTATGTTTTGATGTCCATCAAACAAAAAGTGGAATTGCTGCAAAAAATGGACAAAGGCATGAAGAAGGTGACAGAGAGGTTAGTGAAAACGAAAAAATTTCGATTGACAAGTTAGTCGGTATTCTCGGCACAGCAATTACGGGACTTGAATAGCGGAACTTTGTAACTGAACAAGAAATTATGTCTGTTTTATGTCTGTTTATAGAATTAAAGAGAAAGTATTATCACATAAAACGAAACAACTTACATTGAAAGAAATGTTTAATAAAGTAAACAAATAAATATTAAGCTTTTTTTTTTTTTTTTGTAAATTTTGATACTCTTTAGATCATAATTGTTCTTTATTTCATAAATTACGGTCTCATATTTTTAATTTTAGAATTTCTGCATGCCATCTTACGGCGATTTAAATTGACGATCTATAATCCAGAAAAATCGACAATTCAGAATCGCCGAAGTCCCGACGAGTCCGGATTAACAACTTTTGACTGTATAAAAAAAAAAAAAAAAAAAAAAAAAAGTGGAACTTTCTGGTTATTCACATCCAGCATTCAATAAAACTGTGAAGTGTTTGCCGTATTTTAGAATTTACATGCAATAATGGCCACATTGCACATGGGTGTACCACATATGTGATTAAGTGGGTACAGATTACATGCTTTATATTTAACCATTTTTTTGCAACAATACTGTTAAAGTAGCTGTAAAAACTTAAACATCAACATAAAATGCTTCTTATGAAGAGGATATTGCAGAATTATGAGTTCATAAAGTTAGTCGAACATATGGTTTCCTTAAGTCACAAAGCCACCATGAATTAGTGACTTGTGGGGAACCAAGAAAATACCAATAAAAATGGAAATACATTAATATCTATTTTGTTATAATGTAACACAAATTTCATCCATTTTTAAGTTGATTTGTTTATAAACTGCTTTCATGAAATTCATAATCCTTCTGGTAATTTTTATATATTCGAATATATATATATATATATATATATATATATATATATATATATATATATATATATATATATATAATATATATATATATATATATATATTTTCCTTCCAGATTCTTTGAGACAGATGCATAAATATTCTACTGCTAGGGACCAGGAGCAAGATCATGGCCACTTAGATGCTGAACTGCAGCAAAGCATGAAAATGTTTAGAGCACAAAGAAATTGTTATATTGCTGGCTTTGCTCTTTTCCTTGCCCCGTAATGTATATATTTTAGATAATATAAATTATACTTCAATATGACAGTATTTAAATTACGAGGGTTATTCAGAAACTAAGGTCCGAATTACCATAGCTAATTGAATATCAGCCGACCATTGGAATGCCTTGCTCGTCTACCGATGCCATTTGCATTGGTACTGTTTCAGTTTGCTGTGTCGGTTTAAAACAATTGATCAGCCCACCGACTGTGAAGTACAGTCAATGATTTGGTTTTTAACAGCAAGGAAGATTTCAGCAGCAGAAATTCATCGACAATAAGCGACATGTATGGCTCCAATGCTTTGATTGACTGCAAAGTGCATAAGTTGGTGAGAGCTTTCAAAGAACGGAGGGAAAATGTGCATGATGAACAGCAATCAGTCCGACTATCGTGTGATCACAGAAAATTTGGTCAATGCCATAGACAGAAAGATTCCTGAAAACCGGTGATTCACAATTTAAACTTTAGCTTTAGAATTTACAAATGTGGGTAGGACAACTTTGCACAAAATTGCCTTTGAAAATTAGCGATCTTACAAATTGTGCTCGTTTTTTTTTTTTTTTTTTTTTTTTTTTTTGACTGATATCATAAGGAAGGTGACCAATTTTTTGAGACGATTGTTACAGGAGACAAGATGTGGTTTCTCACATGATGCCAGATTCTAAACATCAGTCAATAGAATGGTGTCGCACAGCATCACCAGTCAAAGTCAAGGCCAAGCAGACAATCTCAGTACACGAGGTTATGGCAACTGTGTTTAGGGATAGACATGGAGTCTTGTTAGTCAAATTTATGCAGCAAGCGACAACAATAAATGCAGCTACTTAATGCTCTATCCTGACTAAACTTAGACGTGTGATACAGAATAAGTGATGTGGCCTTCTGACATCTGGAGTTTTGTTGCTCCATGACAATGCCAGACCCCATTCTGACATTCACATACAAAATCTGATCAGAACTTAAAAAGTTTCTCAGTAGCAAGCGCTTAACCACAGATGACGAGGTGAAAGAAGCAGTTCAAGACTGCTTATCCTTGCAGGCATCAGACATGTATGACTTAGGCATACAAAAGCTTGTAGAACATTATGACAAATGTTTAAACAAACATGGAAACTATGTAGAAAAATATAGAAACATGTAGGGAATTAAATAAAAAAGAAGCTTTTTAAAAATTCTGTAATGGTTCATGTTTTATAAGAAATCAGACCTTACTTTCTGAATAACCTATGTATATTTCAGTATGTCAATATTACTGAAAGGAGTGTAATATTGAAATTTTCCCGTTATCAGTTTTTTGTAGATATTTAGATACTTGATAGGTATTGTATTTGAAACATTAAAGATAATTAGCAATAAAATACAGAAGCTGTTCCAACAAGATAATATAACTCGGCATAAATGTCAAGATGTGACATTATAATTGCTGGCGCATCCATCCGAGTTCCATCTGCACGTCCACATACAGATGCGCCGTTCTCATCCAAGTCTCCAGATCTGAACATGATAGAACACATTTGAAATGCCATGCAATGTGCTATCAAACAGGTGCATGATCTTGGTATAGCCCTAAATTTCGAAACACTGCACTATTCGAAATATAAACAGCATATTTCTAAAAGCTTGTGGAGCCTATCATATTCCTTCTCTCATGGTGCATCTATCAAGTATCAGGAATTTGACTTCATGTCCACAGTAAAAATATAAAATTATTACAGGAATTTAAAATACTTTCCTGTACTTACATTTGGTTATTTAATATGTGTGCTAAAGTATTTCCATTTAAAGATCATGTGATTGAATTTTGTTTTGCAGGGTCATTCGTCGCATTGCTTCGCTACTATCGAGGCAAGCAGAATTAATTGCAAGTGCCGAAGCATCTTTGAAACAAGCGAAAAGTGCCACCGAAGCTGCAGAAAATCTTATGAAGGAAAGAGAAAAAGTATTTATTTATTTACGTCTGAGATAAATATTTGTTTCATATGAAAGTATAAAATATAATTGGGTTGATTATGGTCAGATGTAGCTGGAATTCTAGAATTCTTACTTTTTCACATTCAAGAGATGTATTTTAGATTCCATCAAAATCTTTTTCAAATTTTCTTTTAGAACAAATATTATTCAGGGATTTAAATTTATGTAAATGTTTTATATTTTAAAGTTCAGTGAGAGGTCAGACTTCTTGCCCGAGCTAAATTTTTTTTCTGTAAGTTATTTTTGCTGTTTTTCTTATACAAAAAAAAATTGATATTATAAAATTACTGGGCTGAAAATTCAGACTAAGATTGGTTAAGAACAAGCATCCAGTATTGAAAAAGCTCTTTAAGTTTGTTTTGAGCTTTACTTCATGGACCAGTGTTGGAAGTTCATTTGAATATATGGGTGATACCATGTCAGAATGAAAAACATCCTTGAACACAGTAATAGCTTATCTGCTGCAGAGACTGAAATATTACTTATTCTCATTACACAAATCTATGTATGAAGCTTTCAAGTCAGAAAATCTCTCTGTTGATAGTAAAGGTTTTAAGGTTAATTTATTACATAACTGGATAGCTTATTAAAATACTTTACATTCCCTGAACCATTCTGTTCTTCCTAGCAGTTTATCTCTAACACCTGTTAATGCATAGTCTACACTGGGAAGCCCATTGGCTACTTCAAAATATCTTGTTGATCATACTAAATTTTCAATTGTTAGGAATGCAGTAGTCCCAGAAATGGAACTCCCTCTCCACCAAAAGAGCAAGCTTAAATTATTTCATAATAAATATTGAGAAATCAAAGATATGTATTGTGAATGTGAACTATGGCAACTATGTGAATTGGTGTAGTAAAACATAAATTAACTTTTAAGAAACTAAGAAAATGCATATACTTTTTCCTTCACTATTGAAATAGTTTGAAAATATGTGTATATGCATGTATCTGCGTTTCACAATAATATTCTGAATTATTTGAAATTATGAGATTTTTACTGCACAGTATCTTTCATGATTTTTGAAGTAATGTAATTATTCCTGTAGTGTATATATATATAAAGAGAGAGAGAGAGTGAAATTTCTCCGTTCACATCAGTGACGTTAAATACTGTTATTTGTGTAAAATGTTCTTGGAAGTAATCATTAGGTTCAGTTTCTCTGTATATAAGACCTGGTGATTACTTCTGAATTGCTATTGATTATTAAATCTAACCTATTGATTACTCTCAACTTTCACTATCTGTAATTATAATTTTACCTAGCAAATTGTGACAGTTTTCTGTTCAGCATACATTGGAAGGTCTCTTGAATAAAAATATGTAAGAGAAATAGTAGGCTTTTGTACACCTTCTATTTCTAAATTTATCTTGTATTAAATTTATGGTGCAAGGAAGTTAGATGTTTATAATACATTATTTTTATACATACCCGACTAGTTTTAAGAATTTCCATGTAAGAAATTAAGTAAATATCAAAATGCCATATAAAAAGTTTAAATGTTATGTGTATGAATTAAAGTTGGTCATGTACTTTTTTTTTGGCTAACTGTGCATATTTAATCATTTACATACAAATTCACTTGTATTTAAAATTTCAACTTCTTGCAATTTCTCTTTCATAGTGAAAAGTATAGCCATTTTAAGGATAAAAAATTATACTGTTCTGGCATATTCTCAAATTGAGAATATATATTTTTTAACTAATGGATTTATTCATGTTACATATCTACAAATCCTGCAATGTCGGATAACAAGCATAATAAACATATTACACCCATGTCCATAAATTAAGGATAGTGCAAAATCAGGCAAAGGAAGAGTTAGAAGCAAAACAAATTTGACTTATTTGTAAAGCTTATTTATTAAACAAAAGGTAAAGAGCAAAAAAATATGCTATATGTTTGATATTAAAAAAATTAGCAATTTTTTTCCTGCCTGGAGCAAATTACAAAAAAAAAAAAAAAAAAAAAAAAAAAAAAAAAAAAACCTATTTACAAAAAACCAATACTACATGGTTGGTATGACTCTTAATACATTGTATGTCTCCCAGACGATGCAATACAGTCCGTACAGCGCCTAGGCATGCTGAGTATCAAATTATCGATCTGATCTTGGGGGATATTACACCACTCGAAAAGCAATGCTCTCCAAAGTTCCGGTAGACATGTAGGAGGAGGTTGACAGGCTGCAACTCGTCGGCCAAGCATGTTCCACACGTGCTCTACTGGATTCAAGTCCGGTGAGAATGTTGGCCAGGCCATATCCTGCGATTGAAGGCATTCGCTTACGATGTTTACACGGTGAGGACGGCGTTGTCATCTACAAACACAAATTGTGTGCCCATGGCGCCCCGAAACAAACGTACATGTTGTTCCAGAATGATGTCCCGATAGGTTTGGATTGCATGGTTCCAATTTGAACATGCAGGTCAGTTCTGGAACCCAGAATAATTCCACCCCAAATGAGCACTCCTGCACCACCGTAGCGGTGTCATTCAATGATGTTTTTGTGGTGGTAAAGGGTACCTGGAGCTCTCCATATGAAAGTCTGGCGAGAATCAGACTGCAAGCTAAACCTGGACTCGTCGGAAAACCTCACACAAGCCCACAATGCATGCTCTCTACTCCAGGCTAACCGCAAGCGACAGTGAGTTGCAGTAAGTGGAACGCATCTGACAGGTCTACGAGCATATAGACCAATCTGCTATAAGCGTCTGTATACGGTCTGCCTTGAAATTGTCGTACCAGTGGCTGAAGTGAGCTGACGAGACAGGTCTGAGGCTGTGCTCCACCTCTTTCTTTTGGCAGCAACTGCCAAGTACCGGTCCTCATTCGGCGTTGTAACTCTGGGGCAACCTGTGCTGTAACGTCTACTCACATTACCATCATCTTGGAATCATTGCCAAAGCCTGGAGATGACACTCTGGGCAATTCCAAGTTCGTCTGATACTTCCAGTTGGGTACGACCACATTCCAGACGGCCGATAATTCTACCACGTAAAAAATCATCCAAATGCGTCCTTTGTGTCATAACTATTCGATTATTGCACTGAAATGCTTATAAAGCACCTGCGAACAATTTTACTTCTTTACCTGTATTCCTTATATATCACTCTCTTACACTTCCGTCATTGTGATGTGCCATTGGTGTCATCTGGTTACTTCCTGAAATTTGCATATGATTCTTGAAGATGTGTGTAGTGATTTTACAGGTGATATATTTATTTTAGAGTTCGATTTCCGCGTGACTCCGAATTATCCTTAATTTATGGACATGAGTGTATTTGGATAATTAGTTTATTAGAAATTTTTAACTATTTATTTCAGTTTTTCGCATTAAGAGATTTAGCAGAAATTGGAAATATCCCAAAACATGCATTAAAAGTAAATATTTCTTTGCTGAAAAGAATGAAAAAATTATTTGTATTCAAGCAGTGATCAATATAAGTGTAAAACTGTAAGATCTATTTGAATGTTTTTGTAGTTGTTCTTAATTAAAAACATTGGCAAGTTAATGATTAATTCCTTTTTATAAATTTATTTCTGTATCAGTGTCGGAATGGCATTGTATAATACTTAGACAATGACCTGAATGTTTCAATATTTATTTTTTGTAATTTAATTATTTAACGAGTGTAAATTATGCTTTCATGCTCTCTGCTTACATTATCTCCCATTTCTTTTTTTCTTTTTTCTTTTTTTTTTTTATCTGAAGTAATTATCAAGCAAATTTCTAAACTTCTCCCAGTGTGTTTCAATAAATACTAACTACAAAGAATTAAATATACAAAGGGTATTTATTTCATTGGTTAATCAAGTTTTGCACTTGCAAAAAGATAATGTAGAGAAAACAAAAATGCAAGATTTTTTATATCTTAAAATTTTTAATTAAAGAAAAAAGGAATAAATTAAATGAATTAAGTAACTGATTTTTTTAATGCAATTTAATTTTGTTGAACTCTAAATCTCTGAACTTAACTGGGACTACAGTCAGTCTATCTATACATAGTATATTTATGAGGACAGATGATGTATTTTTTCTATGAGCTAAATACATATTTAGTACGATTCAAGCAAGGGAATTTATTTTTTATTGTATTGTAACAAAGATTTGACATTTAAAGAAATAAAATATTTTTATTGAACAGTGTAATACAAAATGCACTTTTCATGACATAACCACTGATCTTTTATAAAAAAAATTTTTTTCAAGTGTAACCCATTTCTGTTTTAACTAAAATGTTGAAATTAATGCTTGCTTATGTAGGTCTTGTAGCTAAACAAATAACCTTATTTTTAGGTTATTTGTTTAGCTGAAATTAAACAAAGTTCGTAACCTATTTTTTTATTAAAATTAAAGCAATAAGATTGTTTTATTGACATAAAATGGTAATGTAATAAAATAATAGTAAAGTATAGCTTCTTAAAAGTATATTTACTATTACTTTTTATAACATTTAAATATACATATTTTTAATATTTTTTTAATGAATTAACAAAAGCTTAAATTTTAATAGCCCTAGATAAAAAAAAAAAAAAAAAAAAAAAAAAAAAAAAAAAAGATCTGAATATGTGCAATGCGGCTAATTGAATTATTCTGCATGTTATTATTTTGTATTACTTTTGTATGCTTACAGAAGTAATTGTACATTATAGTACTTTGGAATCCCAAAATTGAGTATTAAAATATGAAACATTAGTTTTGAAGTTTTTTTCCAGTAGTGTTACATTTTTTTTTTTTTTTTTAAATCAAAGGCTAATGGAAAAGAAGAAAATGAAGAAAACAGGCTGAAGGAAAAGTACGATAATGAAATAAAAACTTTACGAAGTGAACTGGAAAAGACAGAGAAAGGTACGTCATTAACATGTATAAAAAATGTTTTATAGAAGTAAATATCATAAGATACAAATTTTTTATATTTTTACAGAACTGGAAAAAGCAAATAAAAACTTAGAGGCTTTACGATCCCAAGCTGAATCAACTAACAGAGAGTACGATAGATTATCAGAAGAGTATACCAAGCTGCAGGTGAGAAAATTAAGTTTCGGTATATTGATTAATTATGTAATTTATTTTACACCACACTGAAACCATTTTTGTGTATTTTATTATTTAGATTATGTACTAATTCTATTTTCATAGTGCATAGCTGCTAACTCTTCCGTATTTTAATTTTTAGTCTTTACTAAAGGAAGTTTGCCAGCGATAAATAAAATTTATTGAATTAATGAAACTGAAATTAGGCAAATTGCATTTTCCCACTACTAGCGATTTTCATCATAATTTTTTTATTGATCTTATTAAATTTTAATTGATCTGATTAGTTTTCACCATATTTAAAAGTATTTTGATAAAGTTGGTATAAATATAATAAAGATAATGTTTGGCATTTTCTTAATATAAAATTTAAAAATGAAATTAGCATAAGAATATATAATTAAATGCTAATATGTTACATCAGAATTGTATTACAAATTGTTTATTAACCAGAATCGTACATTATAAAGTCAGCTTGGAGTTAGTTTGAAATGATATTGCTGCTCAGTGTGAAGATCTTATAGTTTTTAAGATTCAAAGGTGGCGGCTATGCTAGTGTCCTTATATATTGTTGTGAAATGTAAAGGTGCGGCAATAACGCAAAGCAGTTTTAGGGTTGCCATAAAATGGCAAGGGAAGGCAGGGTCGCCACATTTGGCGAGAAATCGCCCATTTGGCGACATACCATGGACAGATGGAGAACCTTCTGGAACGAAATCGTACCGGTTTAGCCCAGAATGTTCTCGAACACAAGCCGAAAGCTATATAAACCCTGCTGGTCCGCAGTCTGTCAGTAGCATCGAGAGTGAGTGTGTCTCTTCTAGCGAGTCAATCCCTGCGGAGTTGATTGAGTTGACAGCCGGGCAGCGAGTGCCGAGTGGGTCGTCGAGCTCACCGAAGGAGTCTGTTAGTGCATCATCGAGAGAGCGTGTTGAGCTCCGGCAACGACTGAACCGAAGAGTCAAAAGCTGTGCTCGTGTGTCGTCGAGTGCATCGCGAGTTGTAGTGTGTAGAGTCTCGAGAGTACATGGAGTTCCGAGAACGACCAAGCAGAGTCGGGTGCTTTGCAGGAAGCTGTCTCCACTGTGATAGCCTGATAACCTGAAGGCTGTGTTGCTGATCGTGTCAGTGTGTTTATAGTAGATCTTAGACGACTGTAAAAAAGTGTTATTGGAGCTGTCCTGATTAATACTGACAAATAAAGTGTGTTTTGATACTTCATCAAGTGTCGTCTTTATTCACTCTAAATCTACGAACCCCGTATGAATGTGAACGAAGAAAATAACGCAACAACTGGTGTCAGAAGAACAAAAAAACAAATTGTAACAATATTATTTTCCTTTGTAAAATAATTTTTCCCACACCTTAATATAATTCAAACAATTGTCTGAATCTCTTATTGGAGAGGCATGATCAAAAGTTTTTATTCATTGGAGTTTGTTTGACTGCTTAAGGTATCTGCCTACGTTCGGAGCACTTTTTTTTAAAAACATAGAATTCTGATGAAATATATATTTATTTAGTCAAATTATGATATCAAATCATGAAAATAGGTAAATTTTTAGGAATATTTTTATAAATTTTTGAAATATATGCAATTTTATGCAAATTTTTAGGAGAATTTAACACTTACGTTAAATGCCGTATATTTTTTCTCACAGCATATATTTCAATTTTTTTTTATACTGTATACTACTAAAACACTTATCTGTGTTATGAACTAAAATGTATATGATATTTCTAAAATTTACTAAAATATGTGTAATTACATGAAAAAACATAGTTTTTTGTAAAATATTTCTTATCGTTTTATATAGAAATACTTATAAAACAATCAAATTAATAAATATTACTTAGATTGTAGCTTAAAACCTAAAAATAATATAGAAAACATTTTAGTGAAATTTAATAGAGATATCTTTAGAACATTTTGAGTAATTACATTTCTTGTATGTAAAAACACTAGAAAAATTAGTTTTTCAGAAAACGCATTTAAAGATTTCACATTAACAGAAAAACTGTTCTCTTGTATTTACACACACTTAAAATTCTCCACATTTGTACATCACACCCTCCATATCTTTATATACTTAAGTAATTTTGATTTCCTATTTGAGTTTAATTTTTTTTTTCTGGCTATTTTCGAAATGAGCGACGAATGAATTTTCGAGTTCTTTATTCTTTCGTTATCAATTCCAAAGTAATTTTTAATCATTTCTTGTTCAATTGATATGCCTAAATGTTCAAACACAGGAAGTAATCCAAGATATCCTGAATTAAAAATTAAAACGGCTATATATGCACCCAGCAACATAGTCTTTATACCTAATCGCAATGTTGCCAAACCCAGTTAAAAAAACCGCAATGTTGCCAGTCCCAGTTCAAATAATTAAGGCAAATAATTATTGCCAGAAACAAAAAAAAAGTACCCAGAATTAAAATGAAATGTTTTAGCACAATTTTGCACACAAACAGTTAAAACAAAGCACGGATAACAACATTGTTTACCTTTAAGTTGAGCCTTTTAAATGGCACTTCTGGTCTTTCTGCTTTCACTTCCAGTGCAGTTAATTGGCTATACCTTCTCTTCTAATTATCACAAACGTAAAAATGAACCATTTTCGGAATCCTACAAAATTGACCTTTCAAATTGGGCAATAAAAAAAAAAAAAAAAAAAAAAAAAAAAAAAAAAAAAAAAAAATGAGATTTTTTCGCCGAAATCGTTTTTTTAACGTAGGCAGATACCTTAATGGGTTGCAAACTTTGCCTGGTATTGAAATCTCTGCATTCAGTGCTAATTTATGTAATTAATTAAACAAATGGTTTTCAAGTAGTGCATTGTAACATTTTTATACTTAACTGCTTTTTGCTAGAAGTATGAGCTTGGGAAGCACATATTAGCTGTTTAAAAGCTCTCAATTCTGTGATACTTTTGAAAACCCTCTTAGTTTATCAAAGATATCTCATAAGATAACAAAACCCACATTTTATAATCAGTGTCAAAATGTAAAATATGTCTTCAGAAAAAAAGGGGTAAATCATGAATAAGGATTATTATGACTGCTCTCTTTTACTGAACACAGTATTATTATTTTAAACAATGATTATCAGTTGAATGAGACTCTGAGGTTTGTTTCCCAAAAATGATTCTTCACTTAAGCAAATATATCTCGGAAACACAGCTGATTCTTCACTTTAGCAAACATATTTTGGAAACGACTGATTTGTGCAACTGGAATTAAGTCTTTTCACCAAAAATTTAAAATTGCAGAACAAGAATAAATCACATTTCTGATTCCAGTTTAGTGTTACGTTTTCTATTTCAGTACTAGGATACTGTTAAAGCTGGAATATGCAGAAGCAGAACTCTGAATTTCAAAATGAAAAATAATGGAATATCTAAAATATCATACTGGAATATGGTGAAACAGCATGTATTCAGAATAGTCTGTTTTACATAATTTCGAGTTTTTAAAGCACTGCCTAAAATTTTCCATATAAATAAAATTATAAAAAACATATGAATGTAAATAAAAAGTATCAATTTTTTACTTCTTTGTACTAAGTAAAGGAAGTATTACAATCGTGAAAAATTTCGGGTATCCTATTTCAATGAAAATATCCATTTTGACCACTCTTGAATCTATTTCAATGATTTTATTTTAAGTGATTCTGTATTTATGGACAGAAGGAATTTTTTTTCCAAAACGGATTATAAAATGGATTCAGAAGGGTTTTTCACGATGTCTGTATGTATATATATATCTCATAGCTTGAAAGTGATTAGCCATAGAACATTGAAATTTTGTATATGGCATGGCTGTAACATATAGTTGTGCACCTCATTTTTTTGTTGCAATCGACCACATCAAGCCTGTGTGTGTGTGTATATTATATATATATGCACACATACATATATCGCTATCATACCCACCTCAGTGTTTTTATTCTTATATGTTAGTAAATTGCTTTTTTTTTTTTTTTTTTCTTTTAAAGTCATTAAATCAAGTTGTTCATATGTTACGTTTACCTTTAGTTAATCTGCACACAATAGTTGTACAATTATCAACAACTGAAAAAAAAAAAATTAAGAGGTGGTAGGCTTAATAAAGCCACCATTTATATGCATTTGAAGTTTTTAGTAGAATAGTGAATAAAGTCAATTGGTGAACCAAATTCAGTGTCTTTTTGCCCAGTATGGCCAAAAGTTAACTTTCAATTTTGTGTACTGAAAATTTTGTCTTCCTGTCTGTTGGCCAACTTGCTTGTTGTTGCATATAATTTCTATTTTTAAAAATTATTTTTTAACTGTACTCTGTGTTTTAGGTTTTCTGTATTTTTTGCCTTGCTGTGAGGTGAGAGCTGAATTTATTGAATGAGAAATATATAACTAGTAAATTTTGAGGAAATAAGTTTAAATGAAATGCAACAAAAAATGTGTATAACTTAATAGGCCATACACAGACGTCGTGGTGTCCTCATCACCTTTTTTTTTTAAGTAATAAAAAAAGCGGTGCTTTGCTTATTTAAAACTCGACATGTTTTCTTATTTAGGTATAATTTAAAAAGAAAATTTCCGAGGAATAGTTTGAATGTATGAGACTTAGTGTGTTAAAATCAATTGTTTTGCCTTCAGTTTTATCTGCAGATTGGCATATAATTCTATGTTAAAATAGATCTTTTCCTGTATCTTAAGAGCTGGAGCTAAATTCAGTTCTCTAACATTATACTTGTCTTCCTCCAAAAGTTTGCCTTCCATTTGATAATTAGAACTATTAAACTTATTTCATTAATCAGTGTTACATTTTTGGCCAAGAATTGAAGCTTTATGTATTTTTAAGTCAAATCTGGACACTTTTAGACATTACAGTCCAAGATCCGGAATCATTGGGATTGACTTAACCTTTTGAAGACGGGATAGCCATTATAGTGGCCATAGAGTCCTCTCTTTGAAAAAACTGGGTTGTCTACTTTAGTGGCCATGTCTTTTTCCTCCATTTTCTAGGCTGAAAAGTGGGGTGAAATGTCAAATTTGACGTTCTTGGGGTTTTAACCACTTATCTCTTTCAAAGGTCTTTCTTTTGCAACATAGACACCCCTCTGAGAATGCATTAAACTACACACAAGAATCTTTGTTGCAAATAGGAGGTGATTTCGTTAAATCCACTAAGATCACCTGCAGAAATTATAAAAGTATCCTCTATTAATTAAGACACAATACACGCCGAATAAATACTGATTCAGAAGTCAAACAACAAAAATCAGCGTTAATTCACAAAATTTTCACAGGACTAGTTTCAATGGTTTTACCGAACCATCATCTTCAGCTGCAAAACCGCATGTTGTTTGACTTCTGAATCAGTATCCTCTATTAATATTTCTTTTAAAAAAAAGATGTATTGTACTGAAAAAGATTTTTTACTGAATCACCACCATGTGAAATTAAAATGTGATTCAAAGCTAAGATGATGATATTTTCTGGATTTAAAATCGTACTACAGATATTTGCCATTCAGTTAATTGAGTAATGGTTGAAGCCACACATCTCCATTTAGCATTCTTTCTTATATTCGATTAATTGGAAAATTTGGCTTTTTATTTACGATATTAAAAACCTTCGGATATGCCATTCATCATCATAGCATTTGATTAGTTGGCCATAAATTATACCAAACATTTTTTTTTTTTTTTTTTTTTTTTTTATACTTGCAAACATGTTTTATGATTGTGCAGGTCACACATCAGATTTTATACTGAAATATTTCTAGAATTCTTGGTCTTGCTGTATCAGTTTTTGAAAAGCTAATTTATATCTGCATTTCAGCGGGTACATTCCAGTATTCGTTGGTTGATTGATGAATGTACAAATTTGGAAAAAGAGTAATATGGAAACATTATCATTTATTAAAACCAACTCTGGTAAAATTAATAATAAATAGAACAAAATATTAAGCTACTTCAAATCAAAGTTAAGGAAGAGTGTAATTTTCTACATAAACTGAACTTGTGTTCTTTAAAATTTAATTCTTTCTTTGCTGCTATGCGAACAAAAGAAAAACAGTATGAGGAATATTTTACTCTAATCATGTCTTCAAGCTTCATTTATTGTTTACATCGAATAAAAAATTGCTAATCCCACTTATAAATCACTCAAGGGCTGAAAATAAAGGCTAAGTGCAAGCATCAATGTATTGTCATCGTGCAATTCCCTTGTCAGCCAGTGATTGAAATTGACATACAGGATTCTTGGTTAGTCAACAGAAAAAATGTTTTTAAGGCATATCTTCCTTTTATGAGGAAGGCTGGGATTTTAAAATAGATATTGTTTTTGCTCATTAGGATTTAGATCATATTTCAAATTTTAGTTGACTGTATGTTCGGGGTACAAATAAATTTACAACTTAAAAGCAAACTGAAATTGTTAAAAATTATAACTATTAATATAAATGAAAAATATAGAGATGTTTTTTAGTATATACTTATAAGTAAATACTAAAAATACTATTTCTTAAAAATGAATTGATAGTTTTTGGTAATGTGTGTATAAATTATCATGCATTCGATTAAAAATTTTGAAAAAATGTTTGATATAACTCTGAACAGTGCTAGGACTTAACTTACTTAACTTTTTCTAAAGCTATTTCTACAGAGAAATAACTTTTTCTAATGCTATTTTTACAGAGAAAATGTGAAAGAGAGGGAGGTGATCATGAAAATAAGAAGGAGGAATGATTTGTGATAAAAACTTATTTTGTGCACTGATGTTTGAAACAATACTGCAGCATCGAGAATGTTTTTCATTTGTGAGTTACCATAAAGAATTTTTGGAAGATAAAATGTGAGAGTAACATGTTTGCATCTAATCTACAAGCTGTTATAAATGCGTACTTACAAAAATTAAGAACTTCACTTCTTTGATATGCACTTATCATTCTTATGATATGTACTTTGTGTGGTTTGTATTTATGTAATTTATATTAACACTTTTGCATTTGTGTACAGATAAAATATTAACACAATTAAACATCCTAATAAATGAAAATATTGTTTTGTATTATCTAAAGCATCCTCTGTAAAGCATATTTCATATAATTTTTAAAAATAAAAGAAATGCTGTAGAAAATATAAGTTGAAATCAATAAATTTTTTATTTTTATTTAAATTGTACTGTTTTCTTTAGGTAAAAAATGACTACAACATTTTGCAAAGACTTGGAAAGATAGTTAACAACGATATGCATTTGTACTGAAATGCGATACATAAATTTTGTAATATACTTATAACATAAATATCACAGCATTAATATTCAAAAAGTTGAAAATAGCAATGAATAAATTTCATGAACATTTTATCTGTAGAAAAACTCCCCCAAAATTATAATCAGCACAATGGAATGCTCATACTTTATCCATTCTTAATTTTTGCACAATTAGACTGACTATCATGCAAAAGAAGTTTAAATTTAACCATCATAAAACAAAGGAATTAAAATTTAACTATCATAAAACACAGTTACATATCATCTAATGAAATGTATCATTTAGCATGTTAATAATTGTAAAAACAGAAACAAACTTGTAACACTGACTGTAATCTTAATTCAAATTGGGTTGAGTTTTTGAAATGTATTTCTAGAAATACAGCTTAGAAATCATAGTGTTATAACTCATATGCTAGATAACTAATTTAAAAATTTTATGACTTCAAAAAACATGGTTGCAATATTAAAGATGGTAAACTGTTGAAAAGTGGTAAATCAAGTATATTTTCAAGTCTTTTCATTCTTGCTTTTGCTAAGAAATGAAATTTACACAAACACTGAAATAAATTTTAATAATTCTGAAATGTAAACTTTGGTTAGTTTCTTGTAGGAAACATTCACACTGTATAATGTAAATTTAAACGTGAATTAGGAAATGAGTTTATTAAGAATTTTAGGTCTTAATTCTTTTTCAATCTGCAGCAATAGGTTTTACTTCACTCTATGGCTAGAGCCACGGAATGGTAGTAATATGTCTCCAAGTTCTATTCACAGCAACTGAAAGATAGTTAACAATAATGTACATTTATAACTGAAATAGAATAAAAAAAATTCTAAATTTTCTTCATATGAAATGCAAACATTGGCTTGTTCATCTATTGGAAGTCACCCATAAATCACAAGCCCCCAATCTAATTCAAGCAGTTTAGTTAAAAAACTGCATACTTAAAATTAGTTTATTACTCTAAATTAAAACAAAAAATATTACGCTTGTAATACTATAAAACTATCATTTATTTAGTCATGTATTTTCAATATTTTTAATCCATCTCGCCAAATTTTGAGAACTGATAAATTTTTCATATTTCTATTATTAACTTTTCATACATATATTCAGATATTTTCACATTTCTTAGAGTACTGCATTTCTACACAGCTCATAAGAAATCTCCTGATAAAAATTATATGAAGTATAAATATTTAAGATATATAATTAAGATATAATGAAATAAGTTGAAAAAACACTTCAGTACCACTAAGGAATGTTAATGAAAAAAATGCATGTGAAATCAAATTTCAGTACGATTTGAGGTTAGCTCATTTTTCCTAATAGAATGAAACATGAAATCCTGTTTTTACACAAGTCTTACTTCCTTTGAAACAATAAGACTAGTAAGAACAAAAAGAAAAAATTCTGATTTACCAAAATTTTTCATTTATAGCTGCAAATTTGTTTTTGAGGCTTCTCATTTAAGAAATTCAAAAGTAAATAAACGAAATTTTAAAACACTTTATGTTTCATATGCAGATACTCAAGTTTTCAGAAACATAACCTGTTTAATTTTTACTATTATTTTAAGGATTTTATGGATTAATCTTATGTAAAAACCAGAAGTACAGTGTCAAACTGCACAAAAAAGGAGGGAAAACATGCTAAAATCTAAAATGAAATAAGAAATTTACATCTTTGGTGCAAGAAATAACTCCTCTTTTTATTTTATAGTTTTTAGATTAAATTCTTATTTGTTATTTCTTCATAGGTTGGATTGCTTTTGTTTTTCAAGTTTTTTTGGATTCTGTCCACTTAAACTGAAAATTATTATTGTTAGATTGTTAAGCCTTTTTTGCTTGTTTAGGATTTTGATGCTATACAATTTTTTAAAAAACTTTTTAACCCATCTTATATGGTTTCAAAATTTAGTTATGTTTTTATTTACTGGCAGCTTATATTTGCATATTTTGTTTTATGGACTCGGTCTGTTCCAAAATAATATTTTTATGCTTTTTTTTTTATGTTTTTGATGCTATAATTTTACAATTTTTTACACTGCTTACTTTGGAATGTATGAGTTGGACTTATTACTTTACACTTACTTATTACAAATTACTTTGATTGTTTTTCTGAAATTATTTTAAGTTTTAAACTTTAATTTGTATTTTTAATGAATGAGAAACAAGCTGATTTTTTTACGTCTTTCTTTCCACCAGGACTAAAGAGAAGGGCTAGCTCATAGAGCGTTTCGCCCTGAAACAGGCAGTGAGGAGTGATGACGTAGCAATGATGCCACTGAGTGCAGAGATGCAATTGACAACATAGAAATTAGCGTTTTAAATTTGAAGAACCAGCGTTTAAAATGAGCTATGTGTGAAATATAGCTATAATTTGGAAGAGACAATGTTACTGCAGTATGCATTTTACACTGAACATTACAAAATTTAATAGTACTTACTCAATTTTAAAATAATAGATAAAATGCGCTACTCTTAGCATTAAGTTCCTTTTTTTATTTGCAGGGATTTTTTTTTTTTTTTCTTTAAATGCCTGTTTGTTTCTAATCATTTCTTTATCTGCATGTTAAACTAAGAGAAACTGTACTACTGCTTCTAGGATAACTATAATAAACAGCTATTTAAAATTAATCAAAAAAACAACCTTAAATTGGCCTAGTTTTAAAACATGTATGGTTATATATGGCAAAAATTCTGCTAATCTAAGTTTGAGTTTCAGCCTAATTGTAAATTTTACATTGGCATATTTTTCTCCCGATTCAATATAATAACATATATATTTTTTAAAAATAATTTTGTAACATAGGCTTACATCAATATTTCATTTAAATAAATACATGTAAGATTGTTATCTTAATTTAGACAAAACAACTTTACTCACAGTACCTAAAATAATTATTTAATTTTTCAAAAGTGTGGGTTAAGGGGGCAGGTCTACTTATGCCAATTACTTTAATATTATACTTTATATATATTTTATCTAGAATGCTAAGCTAGCACAAAATCGAATCAATAATAACAGAGGATACAATAAAAATAACTGTAACAATAACTTAACAGAATTAATTCTCATTTGAAATATGCTTTACGCTATTAACTTCTAAAATGCCATCTAGAAATATTTTCAAATCAAAACATATTATATATGCTTACTTGTACAGTTGCAATGCAACTACAAGTTGTTGAAACATTATTTATTGGCTGCCACATTTGAAGCAATCAATTTTTTTGCCTTTTGGGTTGCTTTTCTTTGGGAAAAAACATATGCATTTCTATTTAAGAAACATATTCTAATAAAAGTTCTCACTCTGCAAAATAAATTAATTCCTTCTCTGTTAACTTCAGGATAATGTTTCTCCAGTTTATTAATTAAAGAGCCAATTACATGCTTCCCTTTATAGTAAATTGTACCAGGAACTGCACAAAATATGTTTTCGAACTCATAAACTGTATTCATCCATGAATGAGAAGGTGTAGTCAACCTCCTAAGGACAGTAATTTAATCCATTCAGAATTAAATATTGGTTCATCAGCACTATTTTTAGATATTGTTCCCAATGATGGGTCTTTGTCTCGCACACAATAGGCAATATAACCTGCAACATATGTTAATGCTTCTTTTTCGGCTGTCGAAAATTGTCTGTCAGAATTCAATTCTAATTCCCAAGCCATAGGAGAAGGTTCCTCTATGAAATCCAAATCATCAATAGTATTTAATGGAAAAGCATCTTCCTCCTCAGTTTTCAAAGCCCTTTCAAGTATTTCGGATGTTAAATATGAATCAATATTTCTGCTTTCTTTAGTCATGCATACTTTTGAAGATAAATTTGGCAGCTTATTAGTGAGTATTAATTGCTTTAAGCGGCGTATAACTTCACTAGGTGATGGATTGTCATTAAACCTACCAAGCCCTCGAATCTGACTAAAGAGACTTTTCAAGTGCATCCTGAGTTAATCTAGAGGTTAAAATATATTTAGCATCATACGATGATTTCAAATCCTGGTGTAGGCCAAAAAGAGAATTTATTGAAATTATTATTCCTTTTTGAAGTCTTTTTGGAAAGGCAGTAAGTTGGCTTTTCCCTGAAACTCTTAATCCACCAATGACTTTCTTCATTAATTCCAAAACTTGAATTTGTTTTTCATGATGTTCATTTAATCAAAATGCTGCTTTAAGTATTTTATCTGAAGGAGGGTATGTTTTGGTACTATTCATAATATCGAAAAAATTGTCGATTAATTCAAAGAAGTCGGATGCTTTTTTATTTCCTGTGAGGTGGAGTATACCTTTTGCTGTAGTTCTTGAAAATAATGTTTTCGCTGGAGCGACTTTTTGTCTCTCGTTTCCCTTGACCATTAAATAATTTGGTTTAGTTTGTGACACAATTTAATTTCTCTTGAATCTATTTAAAACATCTTTTATGATATCAACATTTAAAACAGTTCCATCTTCTTGAACAAATCCTTTATCCAAAAAGTGATCTCTCAGTAATTTGAGTCAGTTTGCAAAATCTGCAAAACCCATATTTTTTCGTTTTGCAATACTAGATTTGGAAACTGAGAAACTATTAATCGAAATCTGTAACTCTTTCCACAAAGTAGTCTAGATCCTCCTAAATCGGACACTATTGCTTTCACTTCTACTCCAGATGACCGAATATGTTTTGTGAATGAAAAAAGAAGTTCTTTCTTCATTGGAGTGTTCAAATCAAAAAATATTGCTTGTTTCCACTGCGAAATGAGACCTCTGATTAAAACAACTGCACTTTGAAAAGGACCGAAAAAATTGTCCAGTTTAGAGTCATAGCAGAGTTTAGAATCTATGTGCATTTCGTTGAAACTGAGAACGCATATTTTTTCTACAGAATTCAAATATTGGCATCTTT